CGCAAGAGCCAACAAGCTCGTATGGGAGGCTCCCATGAGTTGCCACCGAACGATGGCCATGACCGAGTTGCCGCGAGATCTTGTCGATGCCGACCTTGGTCTTGGTCCATGCCAGCCGTCGCCGTTGCGCGAGCATGATCCACGACTTGGCGAGGGCCACCATGGGCGGTGTCCGAGATCGGTACCGGCGTTTCCGCGTTCAGTCTTGGCCAGGGTCATCGCCTTCTCCTCCTTCCAGGCGAGGGCAGGGGCTGCAGCAATTGGAGAGACATCCGGCGGCCTCCGGCCCATTCCGTCGCCGTGGGGCTCCGAGTCGGGGGCGCGGCGCGGGGCGATCGGAGGCCACGCTGCGCGTTGTCAGCCGTGCTCCTGGGGGGGCGCCCTTCCCCCCCCCCAGCGGGGGGGCTCCTTCGAGCGCAGCCAGTGGCGCTGTGGGTTTCCGGGAGGTGTGCTTCCAGGAGCCTCTTCGGGGATCTGCGGCTCAGCAACGCCACGAGGGCACTCCACTGCAGGCCCCAGAGGCGCGGTGGCGGATCAAGCTGCTGGAGTTCGCGGACGTCGATCTGGACACCTGCGAGGCTAAGTGCAACGCCACCGCGAGTTGTTACCACTACAACTACCACCCTGACGCGTGCAAGCATTCCGCGGATGCACCGAGGACGTGCTTCCTGTTCGCCAAGGTTCATTCGGGCCCGTCCCTCTACAGGAGGAAAATTCAAATATAGTCCATCAAATAGTCTGGGAACGAATTCTCGACTATTTTTGATCATCCTTTGGGGGGCTTTGTTTCACTATGTTTCATTTTCCGTCCAGAATCCGCCTGTAGGAGGACATGCCCGACCCACCGCAAGGGCTGCGTCCTGGAGGAGGATCCCTGCTGGAATCTGTACGAGAGCCCCACCGTGCCAGCGTGGCGGCTGCGGGGGAACGCCACGGGCTGCGGCAACTGGGCGCGAGCGGGCGTCGGGGAGGTTCGGCATCGGGTGACCGATGCCCATCCCCAGCCCCATCCACATCTCGAGCCCCACCATCTCACCACCCCAGCTGGGGAGATCCCCCTCGAAACGCGAAGAGAGCAGCCCGTATCCCCATCTAGGGGGGCAAAGCGGCCAGTGGGGCCCAGCCCACGCCGGTGGGGGTGGGGATCGGTCAAGCGATGCTCGGAGGTCCAGACTGCCATGAACCGGGGCCACTGCGGCGTGAAGTGCTCGCAGCACCCCCAGTGCAGGCTGTTCAACTTCCAGCCGCGCGACTGTCACGAGGACGTGGCCGAGAACGTCCCCCCGGCCGGGGCTGGGGCGTGCTGGCTCTACACCAGCGACCCGCCTTGCAGGGAGGGTCGCAATGCGTGCTGGGATCTGTATGAGATGTCGTCGGAGGGGTCCCTGGGCAACTCCACCTGGAGCCTGCTGCCAGCAGCCAGAGGCAGCGACATCCGGCTGTCGCTGCCGCGCGAAGCCGCCGCCGCGACTGGGCGGGGGGGGGAGGGCGGCGGGGGAGCGCCAGGGGTCGGGAGTGGGGTGCGCAGGTTTCAGGGATCGTTTCGCCCGAACTTGTGATTGCATTCTCTCGTTCAGGAGCGAAGGAAGGACGTGCACGTACATGAATCCACGTTGGTTTTAGTAGATGCGCACTGCGCAAACGTTCGTACCATGCGGCTGGTCTCGCGGATGCAGGGGCCGTGTTCATGTACGTGGTTTGGCGCGTACGTTCTTTCTGGGTCCCCTAGCTTACTTCGGGTGGAAGGAACATCGCAGGGACTTGGTCCGAAAGTAATCAGATGTCGTCTGCGGTCCTGATCATCGCTGCTCTGCAATAAGTGAAGCGAGCCAAACACATCCTGGCGGCAGAAGAGTCAAGCGTATAGCGTGCATTGTATTGCAATCTACGCACGGGAGACAACACCAGAGAGCATTTGGGATAACATAAGGGATAGCATACGGGATATCATCCCAGAGATCATGCGGAAGAGCGCACTTTGTGCCATACATGAGACCATGCGGCAAACCATACGCGAGATCATAGGAAGACCACCCGGGAGATCCCAGTGGAGATCATGCGGGATGTCACATGGCAGATCACACTGGAGGCCACACGGGACGCCGTGCGTGAGACTATACAGGAAATGAAGACAGAGAAGAAACCGAATCATACCCTTGTTAGGACTATAATTCTATGGGGCTGTAGGGTTATAGGGCTATAGGGCTATAGGGCTATGGGGCCATAGGGTTATATGGCTATAGGGCTATAGGGCTATAGGGCTGTAGGGCTGTATGGCTATAGGGCTGTAGGGCTGTAGGGCTATAGGGCTATAGGGCTACTGGGCACCTGGGCACACGGGCACTCGGGCACCCGGGCGTACTGCCGAAATCGGCGACATACCTCACCTAACCATACGAATCCGCTAGGGCCCCTACAGAGGCAAGCTCTGATTGGGAACTCATACTGGAGACCAGGCGGGAGACCATTCGGAGAGCATCTGGGAGGGCATACGGGGGAGATCACACGGCAGACCATGCTGGAGACTGTACTGGAGGCCATATTGTGGACCATGCGGGAGGCCATGCTGGAGTCCATATCGGAGACCACATGGAAGACCATACGGGAGACCATGCCGGAGACGATACGGTGTACCGTTCGGGAAGCCACATGGGAGACTGTAGGGGAGACAACGCGGGAGACCATGGGCCCATGAATTTGGGAATCTGCGAGGCTCACACCAGGGCGTAGGACAAAATATGCAGGACTTGTACAAGCAAGCTGTTCAGGGGGCCAAGGGCCCGACACACACCGGCCGCGGCAAGCGCGGCGGTGGATTCTTCACACCTCGGACGACGCGAGCTTCAGCGTCGCCGACGTGGTCTCCATTCAGTTCGCCGACACGAGCCAGCAGACCGCCGTGGTCATGGGGAAGGACCGGGAGCTCCCGCGTTCACCCTCCCCTGCCCTTCCCAGCTGCTCGGTGGGCCCACGAACTTCTAGGAGCGGTGCGCCTCCCCTTGCGCGGCCGCGTGCTCGCCTCGCCGCGTGTGGGCGAGTCTGCCGGCGGGCGGTGTGCCCATCGCAGGGCCCCTGCAGAGCCCCGTAATTCAACAGATCCAGCAGATCCTCCGATGATTTGGTAGATTCGCTTCTTCCGCCCTCCCATCACTGTCTCATGTGAAGTGCCGTGGCTGAGGGAGTGAACCAATACGGGCCAGACATTCGGATGCGCAGCGACGAACGATCAGTCGATGGAGCCTCCTCATGTTGTCAATGTGAGGTCTGGTTGAAGGCCGAGTCTAAGTTCTCCACCTGATCTGGACACTACTAGAAGGCCAGGGATGTCATGCATGTGCAACATAGGAGGCGGAGCATGAAGGAGGAGCGGGAGGGTTTCTGGCTGCATCAGGCGATTCTCGCGGCTTGTGGGTCGTTTTCAGGGTTCAACGGGCGAGAGAGAAAGAGAAGGAGGAGGAGGAGGAGGAGGAGGAGGAGGAGGCGGAGGAGGAGGAGGAGGAGGAGGAGGAGGAGGGGGAGGAAGAGAAGAGGAAGCAGGAGGAGGCGGAGGCAGGAGGAGGAGGAGTGAGGAAGTCTGAGAGGAGGAGGTAGAGGAGGATGGGGAGGGTGATGAGGGGGAGGAGGAGGAGGAGGAGGAGGAGGAGCTGAGGAGGGAGGAGGCGGAGGCAGAGGAGGGCGGAGAAGGGGAGAGAGGAAGAGTAGGAGGAGGGGATAGGAGGAGGAGGAGGAGGAGGAGGAGGGGTAGGAGGAGGAGGAGGAGGGGGGGAAGAGGACGAGGAAGAGGAAGAGTAAGGAGGAGGAGAGGGGAGGGAGGAGGAGAGGAGGATGGAGGAGGTTAGGAGGCTTCTAGTGGCGCCGCTGCCAACCACCTCCAAGTGTCAAAAGGAGAGAGGAGAGAGTAGGGGGAGGAGGAGGAGGAGGGAGTAGGGAGGAGGGAGGAGGGAGGAGGGAGGGAGCGAGTGAGCGAGGAGCGACGAGAGCGAGGGAGGCGAGGGAGCGAGGGAGCGAGGGAGGAGGGAGGGTAGCAGGGAGGAAGTGAGGAAAAAGGAGGGGGGAGGGGGGGGGAGGGAGGAGGGATGGAGGAGTAGGAGGAGAGAAGGAGGTAGGAGAGGAGGAGGAGGAGGAGGAAGAGGAGGAGGAGGAGGAGGAGGAGGCGGAGGAGAGGAGGAGGAGGAGGCGGAGGAGGCGGAGGAGGCGGAGGAGGCGGAGGAGGCGGAGGATGATGATGGTGATGATGATGATGCTGATGATGATGATGATGATGATGATGATGAGGAGGAGGAGGAATAAACATAATAATAATACAAATAATACGAATAATAACAATACTAAGACTAATACGACTAATAATAATAATAATTCGAAGTCGACATCGACGTCGAACAATAATATCAATACGACAAATAATAATAATACTAATAATAATAATCATACTCATCATCATCATCATCATAATAATAATACTAATACTAATAATACTAATACTAATAATAATACGAATACTGCGAATCATAAGAATACGAATAAGACGACTAATACGATTCTTGGGCTTACGCCACACCGCCGACCCCTTGGGGAATTAGCGGCGCGGCTCCGTCGCCGTGGCGCCAATGACGGGATGGACAGGAGGAGGTCTTGCCGCCGCCGGAGGATGGGAAAGAGAGCGAAAAGAACGGAGTAGAGGACGGGGGAGAGGAGCAGGAGGAATGCGGGAGGGGAGGGGGGGGGGGATGGGGGGGGAGGAGAGGGGGGACGACGACGACGGTAACAACGACACGTGCCAACCATCAAGGCAATTCGGGATTTTCGCTGCGGGAGACTCTTGGAGGCATCTTGCCGCGATTGTGTCGTCGATTGCAGGCGTTTTGCATGGCTTCCGGGATTTCTTGGGATGCCACGGGGGCCAGTTTTGATATCTCCGAGGGGGGTGGGGGGGCGGGATGTGGGGCCTCTCGGGACCTCTTGTGGGCGTCTGGCAAGCATCTTGGGGCCTCGTGTGGGCCTCGTGGGGGTCTCTTGGAGCCTTTTGGGGATTTCCTTAGGCCTCGGGGGCCGTCTCGGCCTCTGGGGGGCCTCTCGGGCCCTCTTGGGGGCTTCTTGGAGGCCTCTTGGGGACCTCTTGGGGCCTCCGAGGCTGTCTTGGCGCGCTCTTGGGCCGTCATGGGCGCCTCTTGGGCCGTCTTGGATTCCTCTTGAGGCCGTCCTGGAGCCCTCCTGGGCCGTCTTGGAGTCTTCAGTGGCCGTCTTGGGGCCCTCTTGGGCTGTCTTGGGGCCCTCTTCGGCCGTCTCGGGGCCCTCGTCGTGCGATTTTGAAGGCCTCGAGAGCCGTTGTGGACGGAGTGAAAGCTCAAGAGGGGGATGTGCTAGAAATGTACGTTTTCCCAAAAGAATTCGACGAATTTTGCTTCCTGGGGGGCCTCTTGGGTCGCTTCTTGGGGACCTCTTGGGGCCTCCTTGGCTGTCTTGGCGCACTCTTGGGCCATCATGGGCGCCTCTTGGGCCGTCTTGGCTTCCTCTTGAGGCCGTCCTGGAGCGTTCACGGACGCGAAACATTTGAAGCCGAAGCAAGTGGAGCATCATCGAGGAG